AACGAGATTAATCCACTTGAAATAATTAAATTTTCAAACTTAAAAATTTCAAAATGTATCTATGCAAAGAGAAATATATTGTTGTTAGCGGGGTAGAGTTGTTGAATCTTTCTCTAATGATCTAAAGGGAAATGTCCTGTGCAATGTTCAAAATAGATATGGCAGCAAAGACAAAGTACATATTTTCACCTCAATTTAAAGACACTTAGAGTGAACTGAATTATTTAAAAGAACCACACCAATAAGGAGGTGAATGGTAGGTGGCTAGCATATACAAAGTATCTAATTATATAATATCGTAATATGTAATTCGATGTTAAATAAAGTTTAAAATACATACTGTATATACAAAGTATACATTGTATATACAGTATGTATTTTAAACATTATTTAACATCGAATTACATATTACGATATTATATAATTAGATTTTGTTAAAATAATCTAGAAGTTGTATTATAATTATTTTATTTTTTTTGAAAGGGGTGGATGGGGGCGGGGTTGTATACATATACATCTTACTTTTAAAAAAAAAATCTAATTAATAGTTAGAAATATTATACTTGAACTTACGATAGCATGTGGAGCCACTGTAACCAGTATCACAGACACAATAATAGTGGTCTCCAACGTCATAGCAGGTACCATGGTAACAAGGACTGGATTCACATGGTTTGGGTTTACTTAACCCTTCAAAAAACGAAAGAAATTTATATATTTACGTAAAGTATAGAGAGTCTTGAGTCGCTTGGTACATGTACATAATTTGGTGGGGTCCAATCAATTTTACATGCATGCAAACCTCCAAACTTCACTATAAAGACCAAAAAGTCTACACAGTCCAGCTACTATCAGCTGGTCACTCTTTTTATTGCGAACCAAATGAAAGTTTTCCACAGAGTCGTCTGCTCTTGACCAGGGTATTTAAACTTTTGTCTTTTCTCTTGTCCTATTGAATAAATACAATAGCTATTGTTCTCTGTGTAGTTTTTTTCTTTTCAGAGGGAAATTCTTTTCTAGGTATAAGACAAATATTTCAATGAAAAGATCAAATATATTTAAAAAACAGATATTGATGCTTTTTTCTTCTCTCAAAATTACTATTAGTGTAGTTGAAATAAGCTTAGACGGTGACCTATAATTGGTAATATACACGCCATTTAAACTCTGGTGGATTGTTTTTTCATTGGCAAGCATATCATATCTCCTGTCTTTAATATTAGTGTACTATGTGTGTCGTCCTGAATATGCATAAAATATTTGTAATATATTTGCCACTAAACATTTAACAATCCTTAATAAATCAATGACTTTGCAATATATTTGCCACTAAAATTAAACAATCATTAATCAATCAATCAATGATATGAACTGTGGATTTACAAAAAGCACACACATCCCAATGTTGTGTATGTGCTTTGAAGTCAATTTACACACAGCAACACATCCTAATGTTGTGTCTGTGCTTTGAAGTCAATTTACACACAGCAACACATCCTAATGTTGTGTATGTGCTTTGAAGTCAATTTACACACAGCAACACATCCCAATGTTGTGTATGTGCTTTAAACTCAATTTACACACAGCAACACATCCCAATGTTGTGTATGTGCTTTGAAGTCAATTTACACACAGCAACACATCCCAATGTTGTGTTTGTGCTTTAAAGTAAATTTACAGATGCTCAATAACAATATAGACCGCGTTGAACGTTAGAAGAATTTCAACCTAAGAATTACATGTCCCCCCAAGGGTGATTGGCAAAAACAAAATATGGTCACTACGGATCTTCTTCCGACCGGCAGTCAAACCCTTGCAAAAATAGGGCGTCCGTTTGGCTGTGTAGGATGTACAAGGATGCAGCCACGTCTGGTCAGAATGGGGACGTTAAATCCGATGCCTCGTGTAGAGAGAGTGCCACGCTCTCTGCACGTTAAGAACCCTTGTAGCAACTCTTTGAGAGGTCTGTAGGTGGCCTGTTGCACGGCAAAATTTCGGTCCATATCCAATATACCCTCGTTTTCCAGTGGTAGTTTAAATTTCTCCGTCCTACCTCCCAGACGGCCTATATTAAGGACCTACCTATTGTATTTATTGTTAATTTGGTCTCGTCCTGAATATGCATGAAATATTTGCCACTGGACGTAAAGCAACCAACAATCAATCAATCGATTATATGACCCTATAACTATATATATATATATATATACAACTCGTCTAAACATCAGCCCAACAATATTAGATCTGTAAATTTGCTTTCGCAAATTTTTTGTTCTTCCCTCGCCGGGATTCGAACTCAAGCTACTGAGATATCGTGACACCAAATCGTCTGCACTGTATCCGACGCGCTAGACATATATATACAAGTTTAAATTGAAAACAACGTTCAAACCTATGATTGTGTTGGATAAAAACCGCAATTTTTATACGTGTGCATGCAAAACAAATTTCTTGGTAGAGGGGTCTAAATACATTTTCCAAAAGACCAAATGAGTGAAAACGTATATTTTAACAAAACGCATTTGACTAGCAGGTCGAACAACTGATGTTCTTAAACCCTGCTGACTGCCATTGGCGATTGCCAAATAAACGTATCACAAGATGTAACAAAATATATCTTTTTATTTACTTATTATCAAACAGAATATATACATTGTATATATATATATATATATATATATATATATACATTAGATAATAGATTCGTTAGTGTTTTCTCATACATCAGGAACAGGATTGTATTATCTCAGAAATGCTAAACTAATTTAAAAATACTTGTCTCTGTGGTGTTCAACTCTCCGTAATCTTGGACGAAACTGACACTTACTAAAATCGATATTTCACCTTCGTATTTTTCTCTCATACAAAACGGTCTACTTTTACTGTTAGTAAAATGTTGCAAATATTCAAAAGGTTTTTCTACCCAAGGTAAAGATGACCATAGACAGATTTAGCACAACTTTTTGAATTTTTTTGTGTTGATTTAGTTTTTTAATAGAAAATTAAGAAGATGTGGTATGATTGCCAATGAGACAACTCTCAACAAGAGACCCAATGACACATAAGTACCTTCAAGCTGTTTTCATTCGAGCTTCACTGATGTAGACAAAGCTTGGTTTGATGGTACTAAATTGTAAGCCTGGTATCTTTTATGAGATTTGGTAGGTATATGCAAATCAATTTCCCTGCCCTTGTGTATCTTTTTTTTTTTTGCATGCTTATATGCATATGTCTTTCAGTTAATCATTTTACTTTACTTTGAATTCAAGCTTTCTTTATGACATAATACTTGACATTTACCTTCACATCTTGGACCATTGTATCCCTGAGAACATTCACAGCTGTATGTTGTCTGGCTCTTTGCGATACACTTTCCATGATTATAGCATGGGTTGGTATCACAAATGTCTGTTGAAACATCTACAAATATGAAAACAGGGAGATATATGATTGCCAGCCCAATGAGACAACAATCCATTGGAGACTGGTGGACAAGGAAGTGATATAGGTTATCATAACGCCTTAAATGAACCATAATTTAACTTAAGTATTTACTTCATGGGGTTTATGAAATAGAGAATAATGGGTCAACACTACATAAAAATTGGTAAAATAAATAAACTATATAGAAAAATAGGCCGCACAAAGCATATAATAGAGAAAAATGTGGTGCTTAAATATAAAGAATAGAGAATATAAAATAATGGGCAACCAGTATATAAAATAGAGACAATGACAAAGAAAATTAAGAATACATAAATCCAGAAATTTCAGAATCTAATGCATTCTGGTTAATATTTTCAAAGTGTACACCAAGACTTCGTGATTGGTTAAAAACTTCCTTAACAATGGAAATTTAACCAATGAAGTGACGTTATTTTCATTTTTGGGTATGAACAATGAAATTACCTATAAACCTTTAGATTCTGAAACGGCAAATTTATTAGTAGTTTATCGTTTTGTTAACTATGTATTAACGTAACAAAAAGAATACGTAATCGAATTTGTTTTGTATCTGGTCTGTTCATATCTCAATGTTATAGATTTTTGGCTGTGACAGATTTATAAGGAAGCAAGTACATACAGTTAAAATGAGGTTGTCAACTCCAATGTATCGTGTAAATAGGGTGTCACACTCTCTGCACTTTAAAGTACACTTTAAACAATTCTTGGAGGGGCCCGTAGTGGCATGTTAAATGACAAAATGTCTATCGATCATACCCTCTTTTTTTGACTGCCTTTCAGATTTCCAGCCCTTTAAAGGCGAAAAAAGTCCAAAAAAAATAGCAGAATCAATAGGATTTATATCCTTCAGAAGTTGCGCCGCAAAGACCGTTTACACAGGGGTTTGGGGAACTGCAGGGGTGGTTTTTGTCTACAATAATAATAAAAAAAAAAATACTTGCAGCTTTTAGTGTCAAATAGTTTCTAAATCAACGCGTTATTAATGTTTCCAAATAAATGAAAAGAGATTCTACCACGCAAACCAATTAATAACGAGATTAATCCACTTGAAATATTTAAATTTTCAAACTTTAAAATTTCAAATATGTATCTATGCATAGAGATAGATATTGTTGTCAGCGGGGTAGAGTTGTATAATCTTTCTCTAATGATATAAAGGGACTGTCGTGTGCAATGTTCACAATAGATATGGCAGCAAAGACAAAAAGACAAAGTACATATTTTTACCTCACATTTAAAGACACTTAGAGTGAACTGATTTATTTAAAAGAACCACACCAATAAGAAGATGAATGGTAGGTGGCTAGCATATTTCTAACGTGTACATTGTATATACAGTGTGTATTTTAAACATCATTTAACATCGAATTACATATTACGATATTAAATAATTATATTGTGTTAAAATAATCTAGAAGTTGTATTATTTTTTTTTTTAGGGGGGGGGGGGGGGGGGCGGGGGTTGTATACATATACATCTTACTTTCAAAAAAAAATATCTAATCAATAGTTAGAAATATTATACTTGAACTTACGATAGCATGTGGAGCCACTGTAACCAGTATCACAGACACAATAATAGTGGTCTCCAACGTCATAGCAGGTACCATGGTAACAAGGACTGGATTCACATGGTTTGGGTTTACTTAACCCTTCAAAAAACGAAAGAAATAAGTATAAAGAATCTTGAGTCGCTTGGTACATGTACATAATCTGGTGGGGTTCAATCAATTATACATGCATGCAAACCTCCAAACTTCACTATAAAGACAAAAAAGTCTACACAGTCCAGCTACTATTGATTAATTTACCTGACCAAAAAATTATCTTCTTTTTGGGGGAAATAGTTGTATAAACTCGCATATACTGCATGCAATATTGTATTCAATCAATATCAATAATATATTTTCAATCTGTTCAATATAAACACTGATTTAATTATAAAAAGTTTATTTCTGACAAAATTTTTAGTATTCTTCCAATGAATTTGCATATTTTTGTTGTTGTTCAGTTATAGAATACATTTATCAAGACCTTAATTTATACACAATAATTTTCAAGTTTGTATTTGTCTAACACACAAAAAAAAAGCAAATTTTAATAGGGAAAATATAAAAAAATTGTTCAGAAATCAACTTTTAATTTTTGAATCGGTGTTTATATTAAAACTATTAAAAATGAATTATTGATATTGAATGAATAGAACACCCCATGCAGTTTTTTTAGTCCTTATTTAGTATTTGTACATGTATTTTCATTATTGGCAGTTCAATTTTTTGTTCAGGTAAATTAATCAGTGAGTGATAGATTTCTCTTGGAAGAAATTTAAAGGTCCCATCAAATAAACTAGACCCCAAGGGTGGCTGGGGAATAGAAGTATGGTCACCATTGGTCTTCCTCCGACCGGCAGTAAAACCCTTGCTAAAGTGGGGCGTCCGTTTGGCTGTGCGGGATGTACAAATTTGCAGCCACGTCCGGTCAGAATGGGGACGTTAAATCCGATGCCTCGTGTAAAGAGAGTGCCACGCTCTTTGCACGTTAAGAACCCTTGCAACAACTCTTTGAGGGGTCCGTAGGTGACCTGTTGCAAGGCTAAATTTCTGTCCCTATCCAATATTCCCTAATTTCCCGTGGCAGTCTAAATTTCGCCGACCTCAACCCCGGACGCCCCTATTACAGAACCTACCTTTTGTATTTATTGTTTATTTGTTCTCGTCCTGAATATGCATGAAATATTTGCCACTGGACGTTAAGCAACCAACAATCAATCAATCAATCAATCAAATAAACTACACAGAGAACAATAGCTATTGTATTTATTAGATGGGACAAAAGAACTTACAAAAGTTTAAATCGCCAGGTAACTTGCAGGTGAATCTATGGAAAAGTATCATTGGGTTCGCAATAACAAGAAAGTGATGATGGTATATTTTGTCTCCCTGACAATCTTCATTTATCAAAATTCTACCTTTTCAAAATAGAAATGAATACGTTATCACTGAATGAGACATAAAACTGGATTCGTACTTACCATAAGCAACACGGCGGGTACCACATGTGGAATATAATGTGCTTAACGCTTGATGTGTTTCCCTCAGTTTTAGTTTGTAACCCGGATTTGTTTTTTTCTCAATCGATTTATGAATTTCGAACAGCAGTATACTACTGTTGCCTTTACTTACACTTCTAGAGCACAAGCAATCACCCCAGGTTTGAGGACAGGTTCATGTTACTCGATCTTTATTTTGTTTGTGCATTGATGTGTAGATAGTTGTTGGTCATTTCTTCGTTTATTTTGTTTTGTATTTTTTTTAGGAGGAGGGGACACTTGATTTTAACAGACTCTCTTCAACAAACTGGTTATCGGTATTTAATATAAAAGGGACAACTTACACTGCTCACAAAATGTCCCTGTATATCCAGACTGGCATTTGCACTGGTAATGGAGAGTATCAACAATTTCACACGTGGCCTCGTTTTGGCACAGGTTGTCCGTACATGCATGGTCAGTATCTACAGTATAAACGAGAATAGTTTTCAATGTTAGAGAACAACAAATAACTTCGGCACTATTGTCGTAGGTATTATTTAAATAAAATAAATAAAAACATCAACAACTTTATTATCTTTCGAAATTGATTGTAAATTAAGTCATAAATAAAGTATCAAATGTTACGTTAGAGTAACTTCGCATGTAGTTGAGGCTTAATAAAGCATCAAATGTACCGTTGGGGTAACTATGCGTGTAGTTTAGACTTTAATAAAGTATCAAATGTTACGTTAGTTTAACTATGCGTGTTGTTGAGGCTTTAATAAAGTATCAAATGTTATGTTAGAGTAACTATGCATGTAGTTGAGACTTTAATCCAGTATCAAATGTTACATTAGAGTAACTATGAGTTTTGTTTAGACTTAAATAAAGTATCAAACGTTACATTAGAGTAAGTATGCGTGTAGTTGAGGCTTTAATAAAGTATCAAACGTTACATTAGAGTAACTATCAGTTTTAATGAGACTTTTAAAATAAAGTAGAAAACGTTACGTTAGAGTAACTTTGCGTGGAGTTGAGACTTTGATAAAGTATCAAATGTTACGTTAGAGTTACTATGCGTGTAGTTGAGGCTTTAATAAAGTATCAAATGTCACGTTAGAGTAACTATGCGTGTAGTTTAGACTTTAATAAAGTATCAAATGTAACGTTAGAGTACCTTTGTGTGTAGTTGAGACTTTATGAGTGAATTATGGTATTAAATGTACCTGTAACAAAGTAATCTGTATACAGCCTTTATTTTAGTGAAATATGGTATGAAAATATGTTCCTATTACAGAGTGATTTCACTTATTTGTTTCTCTACAGAATGTCTTTATTTTAGAGAAATGTGGTGTAAAAATATTTACCAATTACAAGCTGCATGCACTCCGTTCCGCAGCCATTTGAGCAGCAGATTTGTCCTGTTGAACAGCCAATTAAAGTACATGATTTCTCGCAGTCCCCGAAAAGCAGAGTATCGTCTGGACAGCCAATTACAGCTATGGTAAAACAAAGAGACTTGACAAATAATCTTCGTAAACAAATGGGTAAACAAACATGCATACGCGAGCAATTTATTTTCGTGAACGTCGAACACTTGATGTATGAAGTGTTGAATGTGTCAATCTTAGATCTTCTGTTACACGAACAAAATTAGAAAATCGAGTTTGAAAGAGACTTCACAATTAATCTTCTTATACAAATAGTGTAAACCAACATACATACGCGAGCGATTTATTTTCGTGAATGTCGAACACTTGATGTATAATGTGGCGAATGTGTCAATCTTTGATCTATTGATACACGAACAAAATTAGAAAATCGCAAACTCGCTACGGCTGAAAAAGGATGAATTTCAAAGCGAAAAAAATATTTAGGAAAATAATTGTTTAACAGTGTCCAGATATTAATATTTTACAAACAGTCAGCAACAATTACGGTCCAACATCCTGTTGATATTTACATTTTGGAATCGCATAAGGTTGTTGTTTTCTTGTTCGAATTGTTTCACATTTTTCATGTCGTGGTATTTTTATATCTTACCATACGTTATGGGTTTCGCTCATTGTTGAAGGTGTATAGTTGCTTACATTCACGTCATTGGTACGTTAGATAATGTTTTTTGGCAATCATACAAATCTCTCTCTGAGGCCTTGTCCAGGTTTTGCATTACTTTTGGTATGTTTTTTTGTTTTATTAGCTCTTCAACGTTTGTATTGGATTGTCGACTTTCAAATATTTTATTAAATGATATTTGAATATATTAATCTTAGTACCTTCACAATTTATCCCGTAAGATAGATCCGTACACGCACAGTAGTAGCCTATCCCATTAGTGTAACATGTTCCCCCATGTTTACATGGATCTACTTCACAAGGATTAATTGAAATGATGTGTTAAAGTAATCTATACTACTAAAATAACGAAGTCCAATTGGTTAGCCGTTATGACGTAAATTCGTCGATTCAAAGAATTCAACTTTATATATAACTAATATTGGTAAATGGTGTTGTTTAAAAATTACACCATTCCAGCCAGACCCTTTTGTTTGTCACATAATTAATATTATCAATAATTAACAAGTTCTGGGTCGAATCCGATACCGATACCAATAGTATATGTCACATTAGTTTCCGTTTACATGTTACTTTCTGTAAATTCCTCATCTATCAGGAGAACATGGAATTCTTCCAGTAGTTGCTTTATATCTATGTTACACTATATTACATTATTTTACAAGTCCGATTTCTTCCACCTGAATACCACTATCAGTTTTGGTTAATTTGTTAAAAAATTTAATTTAGTTTATAGTAAGTTTATTGAAGTAAGAAAACCAGGACGGGTTCAGACAGAAAGATTTTGAAAGCAGAGAAAACTGTGAACCTTACAATCGGAATGACTTTATCAGATGACAATACGAATACTATAAATCTAGGCTCAAATAAGGCATAGGTACTTTAATTCAGTCACGGACCCGCAATGTCGCGGGTATGTTCTAGTACGGTTATATTTTTAAATAGTTTTTTTTAAATCAGTCAATTTTTCAATGCTTCATTTAATTAGTATTTATTTTTAAATAAAGTTCTTCAATTAAAACAAAACAATCAAACTAGCTTGCTTTTCTCAATAATATACATGAATGCATATCTATATTTCTAAACATACCCAAAGGTTTCTTCTATTGTATGTAGCGAATCTGTTACATTGCGTGTTATCTTATTTATTTGTAAATGATTATTTAATTAATGTAAAATTTGACGGTCATAAGCACAGCTTGGTGAGTGCATGCCTTACTACAGAAATAAGCACGGCTTGGTGAGTGCATGCCTTACTACAGAAATAAGCAAGGCTAGGTGAGTGCATGCCTTACTACAGAAATAAGCACAGCTTGGTGAGTGTATGCCTTACTACAGAAATAAGCACGGCTTGGTGAGTGCATGCCTTACTACAGAAATAAGCACGGCTTGGTGAGTGTATGCCTTACTACAGAAATAAGCACGGCTTGGTGAGTGCATGCCTTACTACAGAAATAAGCACGACTTGGTGAGTGTATGCCTTACTACAGAAATAAGCACGGCTTGGTGAGTGCATGCCTTACTACAGAAATAAGCACGGCTTAATGAGTGCATGCCTTACAACAGAAATAAGCAAGGCTTGGTGAGTGCATGCCATACTACAGAAATAAGTACCCCTTGCAACATAAGAAATTGACATTCTAAGCAACAAGTACTATCACTTTACAACAATACTACTGTTTTGAATAAAGGAAATATCGTCTGTCATCTTTGTTATTTGTTTCATTGGGTTGCTGTTTTAAGTGTCGTATATCACCACATCAATTTTATAATGATATGAAAAGACCTGAGTGTGCAAGAGACCACAAATTTGGAGCTGAATGTTTGCACATAAGCTTGTAACCTTTCGACTATATATGCAATGCAAAGTCCCCCCAAAAGTGACTGGGGAATAGAAATATGGTCACTTTGGTCTTCCTCCGACCGGCAGTAAAACCCTCGCAAATGTGGGGCGTTAGTTTGGATGTGCGGGATGTATGAAGTAACAGCCACGTCCGGTCAGAACGATGCCTCGTGTAGAGAGAATGCCACGCTCGCTGCACGTTAAAAACCCTTGCAACAACTCTTTGAGGGGTCCGTAGGTGGTCTGTTACAAGGCTTAATTTCTGTCCCTATCCAAAATACCCTCATTTTCCATTGGCAGTCTAAATTTCCCTGACCATCATCACGGATGGCATCTATTACAGGACCTACCTATTGTATTTATTGTTAATTTGTTCTCGTCCTAGACAAGATATATTTATATATAATAATAGGAAAAGTAACCTGTTGACCCTTAAGTTAGATGATCGTTCAAAGAAGTAGTCAACTGAAAGTTATACCTCCTCGTCCGGGCAATAAAGAGCATGCATGTGTCGCTCACCTTGGTATATGTGCATACTCAACAAAGAACACTCTGCAACATTGTAGATGAGAATAGAATTCATGACAATAATCTGTTATGTTGATCTTGTATTGCTGATCATTTAGTCTGTTTGGTTTCTCTCTATCTTCTTTAGTTTTTGCTCAAAACACAAAAGAGTGTAAATAAAATCCTCATTAAGGGCAATCACTCCTATAAAGAGTGATAGTCTACTAACAATATCAGCAAAATTTGACTTGTTAGTAGATCTTGCATTGCTGATCATTTTTGTTATTTAAAGTGTCTATTGGTCTATTAAAATTTTTAAGATACAAAGCAAAAACGAACAAAATCGTAAAAAAATCGTCATCAAAGGACAATAACTCAAATAAGGAGTCGACTGACGATTTCGACCATGCAGACCTATTTGTAGAACTTGTCTTGCTGATCATTTTTGCATTTTAACTATTTTCTCTATCTATTATAGTGTTTAAGATAATAGGCAAAAATGGTAAAATTTGTCATTTAAGGGCAATATCAAACTCCTATAAGAAGTCGTCTGACAGTTTTGACGTATATGGACAGTTGGAAGAGCTCACATTCTGAACATTTTGGTCCTTTCAGATTTTCTCTATTTATAACTGTTTTCAAAATAATAGACACAACTTGCATTTTACCCCTATGGTCTATTTTTGCCATTTCGGCCATCTTGGTTGGCAGGCGGAGTTATCGGACACATTTGTTTAAACTAGATACCCCAATGATGATTGTGGCCAAGTTTGGTAAAATTTGACCCAGCAGTTACCACTGGGCCAATCATGCGGCCAATGATAGAAAAAATAGTTTTAACTTTAAGATTTTATGTGGATTACAAAATATATATTTTACGGGAGAGAAAATAATCTTCGATAGACATATTATGGATTTACCGTCACAAAATCGTCCACTGTATCCATCATCACATACACATTGTATTGTGTTTTCATTTAACCTCTTACAGTTCCCGTTCTCACACGGATCAGGGTCGCATGGATCATTGCTATTGCCAGAGAATATAAATTCTTCGTCTGAAATTAAAGATACAATAATAGTATCAGCAATATTCTTCTATGTCAGCTTCCAATGTTACTACACTAAGTATGAGGGTCTGGATGTGGGTCCTTTATTTCTGTACTATTTAGTATTCTCAATTCAGTAAACCTATTCAGACCCTCAAGTATGAATAATATCCTGTACCGTCAATGTGTATGTTTTTGTGCATCGGCTAGAAGATGTTATATTATTTTCGTCATTTACATAATAATGGGCACGCTTTATATTAGCAACTTCGGATGATCCAGTGAACCTGAAAACTCGTCAACCAATCATCAAACAAATAACGTAACACGGATGACAAAGGCATCATTTAGTTCAAGTTTGAATGATAATATAATATTATTATAATGAGAAGCTGTACTTATATAATTTTGCTAATGTAAATAATTTGTATGATTTCCCTCTGGTATCTTTCGTCCCTCTTTTATTTAACATTATTCCAGTTCGAACAATTGTTTCATTTTAAAAGACATTGGAATTTAGTCCAAAATATTATTGTATTAGTTTTAAATGATTTTGATTTTTATCACATTATCTTATTGTTGAATTTTATTTGTAAATAAGTAATTTCGCTATGACTTAAAGGATTAGTAAATTAAAAGATTTTTTGTTTACATTTTAAAACTGTCTTTTGTAAAAAAAAAATTGAAATAGCTCTTGGCGCGATACAGCCTTTTTGTGCTGATGTGGCGTTTAGCAATTACCAATCAACTAATCAGTATATTAATTTGCCATTATGATCAAGTCAATAGTATTAATAAAAAAAAATATTACCGACGTATGATCATAAACAAAAAATATGTTCTTTTCAACTGTACTTTGTTCTTTTTTTGTTTGTCGTGTTGTTGGCTGTCTTTTAAAGACTTTTTTTTTTAATTCGCAAAATGCATTTAAACCCCCCCCCCCCCCCCCCTACAGAATTAAAAGCAAATTAGCAACACCCCTACACTAAAAATCCTTACGTGCAATTCCTTTTTCTTGTTATCATGTTGTTCTGACCTTTATTCAGTTGCACTCGAACTCAAAATTTAAAAAGTTTAAATGAATAATATTTTTGAGCTTTCAAATTGAAATGACCTACACAGAACATATCCGTTCAAATCCTTGCTTCAAATACAAAACCATAAATTAATATCAAAATGAAAATTGAGTCAAAACGCACATGAGTTGTTTAAATGCAAAAAACGAAACAAATATGAAATTCCGGAAGTATTCTTCGGTGATTGGCGTTATTAAATCATGTTTTCCGCTGTGAGTATTTTTTGTATTTAAATTTCATGTATTTAACCGTTATTCAATAATTGTTTAGATGGTAGTTTATTTTGCACTGAATTCTATATTTACCGTCACATGTTACGCCTCTGTATCCGGTTGCGCATTTACAAATCACGTTATCACCATACAGGTGGATACATGTTCCTCCATTATTGCATATATTAGTATCACAGGGGTTATCTAAGAATAGTTAATATAATTAAAATGTCAATTGTTCTTGAACAATTGAGAGGTCTTTCCTTTTGTAATGTAAAATACATGTTCCAATAGACGTAGAATGTATTGAAAAGTTCTAAAACACACAAAAAACTGTTAAAATATGATAAAAATCAACAAATTCGCATTTTAGGAGATGACCTTGACTTTTGACCTTGTGACCTTTGTGAAGGTCATTGGTCCACAATGTCATTGTACAAGACCCCATGGGTCTAGGAACTTTGGTTCAAGAGTTAAAACTAATTTTACCTTTTCAGAAACCGTTAATGGGGGTTATGCCCCTTAAAAATATGTCAAATCTCTTCGGTCAAAATATAAAAAAGTTGTGCCTCAGTCACCTAAACATTTTTCACTGTTTACTATTTCTGTAAGATT